AGCGTGTCTTAAAAAAAGTCTCAACATTTGTTTGAGACCATACTGTAGAACTAGAACTGCTTTTTAGAGCACAGTTATTGATTGAGTGGTCTAATTTATCATTAAATGAGGTTTATTTTTTAAGATACATTTTATTAGATTTTACAGGCATTTACGATTGTTGTTAGTTACTTTCAAGAAGTTAAATATTTAACGAATAATTTTGAATGGTATATGAAACGAGGCCAGATTTCACATTCTCAGGTACGAAATTGTACGGGAATGGGGATAATGCAGTTAGATTTCGGAAAGAAGGGAGCAATGATAAAGGAAATACTTTTTTTTTTTAATTTGATAAAAAAGATTATTTTCCGATTCTCAACCTTTTCTTTTAAATATACAAATTAAAGAATAATTCTTGTCCCGTAAACTTTGAGCAGCAACCTCGCGCCGCAACCTCCTAAACAATTGAATCCTAAACAAATATGTAATCTGTTATTGAATTTTGGAAGCAGCAAGGTTGTAATAGCGTATGAAAGATTTTATTTTTGCAATTACTCTGTTGATTTCAAAATAAAGTGAAAATTATTTGATATCATAATTTTACTTCGATTTTAAACCTTTTCTATTGCAATATAAATATTTGGGAACCACAAAAAAAAAAGCGAAAATTTTTTTATTTTTATTTTTTAACATGATAAAGTTATCAAATATAATTATTCGAAAGAACATTCTATAAGCTAATCATTGCAGAAAGAAATGGGTCATCCCCCTATGCTTTACTATGGAATGTCTCTCAAGAAAAAATTTTGAATAATTTATATGTATAAAGGATCAAAAACAACATTACCTTGTTATTATTTGTAGGATATTCTCGCTCGTTCAATATAATGATGTAAAGTTTGAAATTTTGTACAAATTGGACAAAATAGGATCAAACTTATTTTCTCATTCATCAGTTACACAACCCTCAGTTGCGGTTTTAACATTCTTAATGTACTTATATAAAGTGCCTTTAGTAGCTTTATAAGGTGGCGCTTTCCATGAAGAACGTCTATTTGCAAATTCTTCTTCACTTATATCAACATTTATATTTTTCTTTTCGGCATCAATTATAATTCGATCACCATCTTTTACCAAAGCAATTGGACCTCCTAACTGTGCCTCTGGTGTTATATGCCCGATAATGAAACCCTATTAAACGAAAACATACATAATCTTAAAAAAAAAAAATGATAATTCTTTTATTTTTTTTTATATTTTTATAATCAACTTACATGACTACCACCAGAAAATCTACCATCTGTCAATAGAGCAACATCTTGTCCAAGACCTGCACCCATGATAGCACTTGTAGGTGTAACTGTAATAATAAAACAAATGTTGTATATTGATAACTTGTCCAATAAACATTGATTGATTCATCTCTAAAGTCATACTTACGCATTTCAGGCATTCCAGGACCACCTTGAGGACCTTCAAATCTAATAACAATAACCTGCCCTTTTTTGATTTCACCTTGTTCGAAAGCTTTTAACATATCATCTTCGCCGTTAAAAACTTTTGCAATACCCTCAAATATTAAACCCTCCTTACCGGTAATTTTTGCTACAGAACCTTCAGGAGCTAAATTACCACGTAAAATTTGTATATGCCCTGTTTGTTTTATTGGATTTGATAACGGATGAATAACATCTTGTTCTGTAAATGAAAGTGTTGGGACATCTGATAAATTTTCTGCCAACGTCTTTCCCGTTACAGTTAATGTATCTCCGTGAATTAAATTATTTTCTAGCAAGTATTTTAATACGGCTATAATATAATGCGAAGAGGAAATTTTTTTTTTTAGTTGCAAAGTTATGATCTAACTATTAAAATCAAAAGGAATATTTTTTTACCTGGTATTCCTCCGATCTTGTGCACATCTTCCATGACGTATTTTCCACTGTGATTTTAAAGGAAAAAAAAAAAAAATGTTGAAATCTACAATCTTCCTCGCTTTTTGCACTAAAAAATATTTAAAATACCTTGGTTTTAAATCTGCCAAAAATGGAATTTTATCACTAATCTTTTGAAAATCATCTAAATTTAATTCGACACCAACAGCTTTCGCAATGGCGATTAAATGTAATACGGCATTAGTAGAACCACCTAATATCATTGTAATAACAATCGCATTTTCAAATGCTTTACGAGTCATAATATCTTTTGGTTTAATATCCATTTCTAATAGATTTCTAATAGCCCAACCAGCATTTAAACATTCTTCATGTTTTTGCGGATATTCTGCTGGTGTTGAACTACTATATGGAAGTGACATTCCCATCGCTTCAATAGCGGATGCCACTAAAGATGAAAATAATAAATTATGTTAGA